TAACTAATTATTTTCAATTCTTGAAATAAATCTATACCTCAAAATTCGAAATAAATTCATTAAGTTTTGTTCGTTTATCAAATATATGTTCACCATATTGATCAGGAAAAAGTACTTGATTATTATTATTTAAATTTAATCGACATCCATCGATTACTTCAAACCATTCACTTGGATAAATTGTTACTGGTAATTGATTTTGATATTTTTCATATATTTCACTATATACAAAAAAGAAATAGAAAAAAAAACAAATAAATCGATATTTTCATTTGAACAAGATACAAACAAGTCTACCGTTTTTCTTCTAAAATTTTATTTTTTTCTGTAATTTCATCAATTAACCATTGTGGTATTGAATATATTGTATCTGAACAATCCATAAATGAACCATTTTTATTTCGATGATTTTTTAATCTATAAAATAACATATATGCACAATCATTTAATCCATAATGTCTTTGAATATGTTGTCGTGTAACACATGTTACTATTGAATCATCAAAACAAAACCAATATTCATCATTTTCATAATTATTTATTAATGATTTATCTATTTGTAATGTTTCATGATCCATATCAGTTATTTCATTTTCATCAATATCCATTTGTTCAACTAATCGAACACGTTTGTCATCAACATGAAATACTTCTGGATAATTACGAAGAAACTATATACAAATTATTTATGATTAATAATTATTAAAAATTAATAATAAGAAAATAAAAGAATATTTTTACTTTTGTAAATGCACCATTAGAACCACGAGTTCGTCCACGCGGAACTGTTGTATTGTCGCGATAAGTCTTTAAGAAAAAAAAAACAGAAAATTCTTTATTTTTTTGTAATCATATTTAGAAATAAATATATATATATATTTACTTTAAAAAGATCATCAATAGTAGTCCAATCATCACATGATAATAATATAGTTCGAATTAAATCAATTTTTTTCATTATTTCTTCATCAGTTTCTACTGGATCGGTTTGATTTGAATTACGATTAGTACGAGAATTATTATTTGAAGTACTACCATTTCGTGTATTCGATGTTTTTTGTTTGTTTGATGATTTTGCCTATTATAAATAATGAAAATTTAAAGATTTGTTTTTTTTTGAAATGTAACTAATGCCGAACTGTTTTTTCATTCGGTTTTTTATTCGTGTAAAACATAATTGTTAATAAAAATCTGAATTCCATAGCAAGAAAATCGAATATCGTTCGTTCTCTGTATGGATTATAATATATTATATTTTCATTGGATGATGAAATATCACTCAAAACGTTGATTTTTACACATTTAATTCATAATAAATACTATTTGAACTTCTCATAAGTTGAGGTTTACAGCATATATATAAAATTGTTCTTGATTATTCTTCAGCCGCCTAATAATGACTTCATGATCAATTGTATGCCTTACTATATGTAATTCGCCGAGGTATCGTGAAGCTTTCGAAACATATCTAACTCACTAATGAGCTTCTTCATCGATTTATATTACACAGAAATTTCGAAAGATCTCTATTGAGTGTAGGTAGAGAAGATTTTGTATCGAACAATTCGAATTTATCCATGTTTTTTTTCAAAATTATTGATTTAGTAGGCCTGATAGTTTAAAGGTGGAACGATGAAAACAAATATTCTTTTTACCAGTTAATAGCTCATGAAGTTCACTACAAAAAAATGTTTCTATCATTTTCAAATCTTATGCTTCCTTTATCTTCTGCAACCGTTCTACAAATGATCAATGTCATGACCAACGGGACGTAAAGGATTAACTATTCACACATATGGTCTTAAATGGAAAATAAATATCGTTCGAAGTGTGTATACTTTAAAGATATGAGGAAAATAGAAAACAATTGATTCTTCTATTATAAGCCTTCAGAAATAGAGAAAATACGAATTATATGAATGACGTACTCATAGAAAGTTATCTTGTGTTTTATAGTATAGCTTAACATGATAACATTGTCTATGAATGTATTTCATCCAATCTTTTCAGTTCATTTAGAAAAATTTTTCACACACAATACTTAGTACATACTAAAAGTATGCTGGCAAAGATATTTTAATTCATTATAAAAAGCTTAAGAAGATATTATCTAGTGATATGGCGTGATAGTAAAAATAAAGCTCTAAGTTTCTATGATATTTGATCCATACTTCAACTAATACCATCATAATCAAATATCGATAAGAACTGTTTGTTATAATATATGATGGTAATATTAGATTACATTTAGTCTTCGATGTATATCTTCTTCTTCGTTTTTCTCGTTTCCTCGAATGGCATTCGTTGAATCCATTTATCGAACGTGTTTTTAATATTCTCCTTGATTTAAAGAATTCATGAAATTGTTCTCAGGACAATCAGAAGTATCCTCTCAATTTTGAGAAATCTTCGTTTTTTTCTCCAGCAAAGTTTTAGCGATGTCATTTATTCAGCAATTCTCAAAAAACGCTTGATTCCTCGATCTTGACGATCTCAAAACCTCTCTGAACATGATACAACGATTTGAGATCGTTTATGTTTGATTAAGTTGAATAACCGAAAAATCACGAACACCACTTTTTTTTTCTGTAACCTAATATGTGTAGACGTCTAAACATTAGAATAAAGAGAACATCAACAAGCGAATCCACATCGAAGATAAAATGTGATCTAATACTACCGTCATATATCATAATAGACAGCTCTTATCGAAACTTTATTATTATGTTATCAATTGAAATATGGATCAAATATTAGAGACATGTAGAGAATTGCTTTTTTTACTATGAGATCATATAGAAAGTTTCCTTAAGTATACCCGAGTCAAGAAATGTGGCGCGTCTTCAGATAGAAAACTCGGAAAAATGGTAAAAACTTGGAAGCAAATATTCAGCGGTCGGATCTACTCGGTTACAACCGGAACTAGGACACCTTCGTCCTTAATTTTGTTATGTTCTACGTATAACTTGATTCGTCTATCCTTCTTTTAAGTTTTTGAAAAATTTTCAGTTTACTTTCAATTTCGAAAGAATAGAACCATGTTTATCTCTGATATAAATTATACAGATTTTCATTGGATTAAAAATTTTCTGTTAAATGTAAATATCTTACTGCAGGCGATGATGGTGGTGGTGGACGTATCCAACAGCCAATCTGATCGATATCTTTTATATAACCATAATAATGTCCTGAATAACATGTACCCTTATGAATAACAACAGCAAATAATTCATAATTTGTTTCAATCACTGAATCCTAAAAAAAATTCCGTAATAAAAGACTTACAGTATTCTTTTATCATACTTCACAAAATTCTTTTAAATCAATATCAAATGGAAATTCATAACGTGTTGTTTTTTTCAATCGATTACCCGTTTTAATATCATAAACAAATCGTTGTAATGGAAATGTTAAAATTGGTGGTAATTTACTTATTTTAGCCCACTATAATATACAATCAAAAGATAATATCATTCTTTTTTTTTTCTTTTCAATATTTTTTTTTTACTTTTTCAGCATCACATAACATATTTGCACATGATGAACATCGATATTGATTATCACCAACTAATTTTTCATGAAGAGTAAACATATTTGCTAATGATGTATGTAAATTTGGACTATCTTGTACAACTAATGGTAAATCTTGATAATCTTCCTTTGAAACAAAAAACAAAACAAAAAAAGAATTATTATTAAAAAAAAGAAACAATCAACATTGTCAAATAATATTTTACTATTCGTTTAAAAATTCTCTGACATTGTTTACATTGTGTATAATTAATTGTTGAACCTTCATAACAAGAACGTATTAAATTTGATTGTTTTGTACCTTGTAAAGATTTTTGTATAGCATCAAATAATAAACGATTAAGTTCATGAACATCTTGATGATCAAATGTCTATAAAAAAAAAAAGAAAAACTACAGTTCTATTCATACATAGAAAAAGACACAATACAAACTTCATTCGATTGCCAACCAAAACTATCGGTTAATCGAATTGATGAACATGCTTGTTGATTAAGTAAAAGCATTTCAGCAAAAAGACGTTGTAATTCAACAATAATCTTACGAACCTATTTCGACGAAAAATATTTCACATAAATACAAAGAAGAAAAAAACAAAATGAATAGTTTACTTTTAAAGTACTTCCACTTGACGGAGTTTGACTTGAATCAGTAGAATTTGATGAAAGATTAAGATCTTTAGCAGATAGACTGAAAAGAGGTTCTAAAGTAAAATATGGTAATCATTCAAGCAACATTTTAAATTTTCAAATCATCTAATAAAATATTTCGATTTTAACTGTTCTATATCAAAACAAATGATTTCTTCTCATAAGATGTTTTCTTGAACTTCTATTTCATGAATATATCAATAGTAGTAATTATACTCAGAGATAGAATCTGTATCCGTCTGCTAGTTCGGTCCTTAGTGTTTTATCCAGATTTTCTCTTTCGGAGAGGTAAGTTCAAACTCTGGGAGAGCAAACATATTTTTTTGGAAGCACCGACATGTAGCACAATAATTACAAAATTCTGGAGGGCTAATCTGATTTTTGAAGTTGTGCCACCTCTAGGCTTCTCATGCTGGGTAAAACACTGCTCGTCCAGTCTCTAGAATCTTGTATCGATCTTTGACTCCGTCGGAGTTATATTAGTAAAACAACCAAGTAGTTTTACTCTTACATAGTGACAAGTTTATTCTTCATTCTTCATATGTGAAGTAATAAACAAAAATACACTACTTTTTAGATTCATAAATGAGTTTTAACCCTTTCCGGCCGGATGTTTCCATATGGAAACATTTTCCCCTATAGGGGTACGGCATTTTTCAAATAGCCGGCCGGAAAGGGTTAAGAAAGAAGAAACATCAGAGAGACATTCTCACTAACAAATCGTACAAAAAGAAGTATATATGATAGTCAAAAAGTTTAACTCCATAGAGCTCTATCGGTTCCATCTCTAGTTCTACTTCTAGGTATACAATTGCATGTCAATCATTCACCTTGTTTTTTTCTTGCAATAGTATCACAGCTCATTAAAAAAAATGATCCCTGACATAGATAAATGAATATCACCAAGTGTTGGATTGTTATATAGTGAATATAAGGATATCATGAAAGACGTTCAGATAATTGTGAATTTATGTAAAGAATCGGTTTCTTTTTTGATTCAAGAAAATTTTATCACTTTGAGATAATCAAATCGAGCTGAGTTCGATTCATTTTCGATCTCTGATATCATTAGATGATAATAGATTAAATTGTTCTGGTTAATACTTAAGATCCTCCTGTTACTTACCACGAAATTCTGGTATAAAAAGTAACGTTTGAATAAGAGCATTCAAATAACTAAAAGAATTCATTTCTTATAAATATATTTAAAAAAGAAATCTAATCTCACCAAGTAGCTCCTTGATTTTGTAAACCACATAAATTTGTTTCATTTCGTGGTGATAAAGGTTTTTCAACTGTTGATTTTGAACTTGTATTAGTTGTTCCTTGATAATAAGCTTTACATAAGTAAAAGAGAAAAATCTTTTATCAATACATAAACTTCATTAAATATATAACTTACATTCTCCATCTCCACCATCTTCATCAAAGAGACCTTGCAACATATTATTATCAATCTAAAAACTCTAAGTTCAAGTATTTGGATAATCAACAGTGCACAGGAAAAAAGAAAAACTAACAGCCTTTCTAATCATCGTTTCTTTTTTTGTTTTTGAGTCACCGTATCACGAAAAGAAAAAAAAAGAAGGTTATCAATGTTTGTTTATGTAGGACAAACCAAAAAAAAAGATCTTAATGATCAGCAGCTTCTTTAGTTGTTTCTAAAAACTTATTATATTGATTTTCATTCATTAATGTTGTTGACATATCTTTTTTAACTTGTTCATCAATAACAGCTTGTACAAGCCAACCATTATCATATGGACTTTTATTAATTAAATCAGCTTCATTTTGTAATTTTTCATTAACAACAGTTATTTCGCCATCAATTGGCATGTAACAATCTGAAACTGCTTTAACAGATTCTAATGTTGCAAATGTATCCTCACGTTTAAATTTTGTACCAATTGATGGTAATTCACAATAAACAACATCACCAAGTGCACGTTGAGCATAATCACTTATACCAATACGAATTTCATTTGTTTTTTTATTTGAATCAATTAATTGTACCCATTCATGTTTTTTACTAAAGTAACGTTCATGATAAATACATTTTGTTAAATGAATTTGACGTCTTGGAACATATTGAATAGTTCGACGAAATAGGAATGATGATAAAGTAGACATCTGAAAACAAAATAGTTTAAAATAAATAGATAGGAGGCAATAAGTAAGCATTCGATTTTAGTACAATACATATTATTATAAGAAAAAATATTTCGAAGTGATTCGTTTTAATGATAGCCAATGATTTATTAGAATGAGTCATTGATAAAACATTTGATCATAGGTAACTAACTTGTGTGTGTTTTCTAATTCTTATTGTATTGAGTCATTATTCTTACATGTATTTCGTAATATCTTTCGCAACAAAATATATTTGATTTCGAGGAAGCGAGTCTTTTGTTTTTGGATACTGAATTAATATATAAATAGCCAGTGAAGATTTATTTTTTTTCATCTGTAAATATTTTCTAGTCAAGAAAATTTTTCATGGCATCATTTAAACAATTAAAATTATTTGTTGATAAAGAACTTGATCATTGTTTACAAAATGTTGTTCGTCCATTTACTGAACATGTCTATTTTCCTGAAACATCTATCGATCCACTTGGAATAGAGAGTATGTTTTTAAATAATTTTCTTTGAAAAAAAATAAAACAAAAGAATCTTCATATATTTTATTCTTTTTATTAGAACATCATCATGATATTCAATTAGAGAATTTATCCATTTCTGATACACTTGCATGTAGAACTTGTCAAATTCAATTTAATGATCGTACAGAACAGGTTTTTTTTAGTACAATCATTCTATTATCGGTTTTTTTATTTAATAAAATTAGATACTTCATTTTAAATCTGATTGGCATCGATTTAATCTAAAACGAAAACTTCGTAATCAACCTCCATTTTCATCTGAAAAATTTGAGGATATGGAGAGTAGGTTATAGAATTATTTTATTTTATTTTTATTATTTCATTTTGATCTATTCGTAGAAGATATATCGAGTATATCAGGAAGCAATTCATCTAGTAGTGAATCAAGTGATAATGAAGGTTCATTAAATATATCTTTAGATGGTTCTTATAATACATGTGCTAGAAATAATCCAAAAATTATTTTAACAATTAATGATGGCCGACATTTATCATTATATCGATGTCTTTTACATGGAAAAAAGGTATTAAAAATTTGAGTATTTTAAGATAAAATTCAATTTATTAGAAAGTCAAATAAGTTTCTGTAATAAAGTATTTAGTTTCGAATCATGATGATACATGTTAGTTTGGTAACAAAAGGCGTATTAATCAATTCACTGAAGTATTAACGAAAGTAGATGAAATAGTCCGAGAATTTTTTTTGGTTTTTTTTCCGAAATTGTGCAAGAAATATATTAATTAAATGAAATATGGATAGAAAATAAACCTATGAATTACCAGTTTACAGACAAGGTTTTGCGTATTTAAACAAAACACGTGAATTTATCTTATCATAGACTTTGTCTTTTTCCTTTCGGTTTCTTCAATACTGTCGCGATATTGACAAATTTTTAATCATAATAAACATTTCTGGTAAAAAAAGATTAATAAACAATATAGAGTAAAACCTCTTTATCGTGAACACCATGAGGTCTGTTGAAAAACGTTGGCTATATGGAACTGTTCAGTTTAATGAGTTAACGCATGCTTTGGTGTGAAATGAAGAAATACTTCCAAGATATGTACATCTACATGAATCTTCATGCAAACTAAGCTCGTGTCTTGATATCATTATTTTCTTCATACATACAATAGTGGATTCATAGATAAAGTGTATTACGCCGTATTACACATGAAACAGATGATAGGTAATAGAAAAACAACATCGCACATATGTTCATATTCCAGTGGATATAATAGTAAGAAGGAATGCAAAAAGAACTGACTGTATTTTTGATCATCAAATTTTTTCAGCATTCATTTTACATCATTATTTCTCAATCAAGTGTAGGTGATGTTTCACACCGACAACAGCCTCACTCTCTGATGTTCCCTACTGTCAATCAGACCAAGCAGTTAAAAATATCGTTGACTTGGGTGAGAAATAAAGTATAATGTACGAAACAAACAATATATAGGCAAAATACTCATTAGCGACAGGACTTCACGAAAGTCAAACACGTGGATCTCGAAATAATGAACTTTTTTAGAGCTAATTTATATATGTTACATATATATTAGATTACTTCAGATACTCTGAAAAAATCAGCACTAGAGACCTTGGTTCAGAAGAATTATTAGTAAAAAACTAGCATTAGCAATGTGACAAAAAAATGACTGTAACTGCTACTTCGTGTATTTAAAGTTTAAAAAACTTCGAATTAAAACTAAACAGTACATTCTGAAGACAACTCCTAAAACCACAAAATTTGTATCCAAAGTCTTTTTTTTCTAATCATGCCTAGATTTTGTCAAAAAACCGATTTACTTTTCGTTAGCAATGTGATGCATTGCAAAAAAATGTTATCCTAAAGTTTTCAGGTTTTTCTCTCATATTGCTAGAGAGATATTTGTTAATTACTTCTTAATTAATAGTTAGTTGAAAGGACCAACGTTTTTACATATGTCTATGCTAAACGAATTTATTCAGAAAAATAACTCTTGTAAAGAATCGATAGGTGGGTATGTTTCATTTTGCTTGAAATTACATGTATCGTGTAGAAAGATAATGAAACATCACAATTCCAAAAAACAAAATGATCATCAAATAAAATTGCTTCGTCGAACTTGAGAATTAGAAAATGTTCACTAGTAGAAATTTTATTGTAATTAATAAAAATATTTTTATTCATTTAGAATTTTCCTCAAGAATCTCAAGAATTGATATTAACTACACAAAAACTTCCATTATATATTCATTGGTGTATTGTCATGGCTGCTGGTGGTCATTTTGCAATAGCAATATTTGAACGAGATAAAATTATTCAACATAAAACATTTCATAAATATATAATACGTGCTAAACAAGGTACAGCACAAACAGCACATGATCAAAAAACTGGTGGTAAAGCTCGATCAGCTGGTGCAAATTTACGTCGACAAAATATGCTTCATTTAAAACAAGTAAATATAAAATTGCATTTTTTTTTCTCCCACGAATTTTATTTTCTTATTACATGAAAAAAATAGAAAATTCAAGAACTTTTTATAACATGGAAAAATGAAATTCAACAATGTTCATTAATATTTGTTCGAGCACCAAGTTTCAATCAACAATTATTATTTAGTGATAAAAATCCACCATTATCAACAAATGATCCAAGGTTTTTAAGAGAAAATTTTTTTATTGATTAAATTAATAATTTATTTTTTTGTTTTAGAATTCGTTCAATACCATTTGCTACACTTCGACCAACATTTAATGAAGTAAAACGTGTTTATGATCAGTTAACTAAAATGGAACTTTATCGTAGGATGAATTTAATTTGTTTTTGTTTTGTTCTTTAATATTGAATTATATTGATTTTCTAGCTCAAGATTATCAATTTCAACAAATTGAACAAGAAAAAGTATCAACAACACGAATCAAATTACCAACACCCATAGCCAAGAAAACAGCTGTTGATTCATCATCAGATTCCGAAGATAATTCTGGTTAGTTTGTTTTTCTCATATAAAAAATTTTAATTCTTTTTTTTTTTGTTACTTAAAAGTAGATAATGAAATAAAACAATCATCAGTACAACAAACTCCAAAAAAACAACCAACTATAGTCACTACAACTAATGATCGAAAAATATTACGTAAGTTAAATATAAAATGAAAGGAAAAAGTTTAGAAACAAATTATTTTTGACTTTTTTCTTTAACGGTAATAGATAGAACAAATCAGAGAAAAGATTTGAGTAACTAAAATATTTTCCTATCAGGAGAAGTACTTGTTTAATTTACATTAACAGGTTTGAGTGAAAGATCTCTGGAAAGCAAAGACTCTCAACATTAGTTTTCTGGATTCTATCAATTACGTTTTGCAAACAAGTTCATCTGATAGAGAAAATATTTTGATGTTCCGAGCTCTTCACAACCTATCTTTAGCGAATTGCACTCACATGAAAGGTTCAATACAGTAAATTCATATCAATTTTCATGAAAACAGCATTTTAGGCCTTTCATAGAATGAGTGCAGTCGGTTGAATGCAGGTCGTGAAGAGCTCGAGATATCAAAATATTTTCTCTATCAGATGAACTTATTTGAAAAAAAAAACATTTCTAATAGACTTTAGAAACTGGTTTTTCAGACACCTGTTTACCTAAATCTGTTATGTTACCATTAAGGAAAGAAGTTTAAAATACTTCATTTCTAAACTTTTTACTTTCATCTTAATTGTGATTTTCGAAATAATCTTTTTCTTTGTTTTTTGCTTAATTAGCTGTTGAAGATTTATCGACATTTAATGAATTATTTACTGCTTGTCGTCTAAATGATATTCAACGATTTGATGATCTTATTGCTCGATTACGTGCTATAAAATTTATCAATAAATCTCCATCAATCATTGATATACTTAATTATCAAACAGCAGGTAGTCTTGATACACTTTTACATATTGCAAGTGAACGTGGACATTTGAAAATTATTCAACGTTTATTACATGAAGGTGCTAATCCAGCATTATCGAATCAACGAGGAAAATATCCATATAATTTATGTAAAAATAAAGAAACAAAAGATGTATTTCGTTTATATCGACATGATCATCCAGATAAATATGATTATATACTTGGACAAGTTGCACCAAGTGTAAGTATGGATGATTTAGAACGACAACGAACTACTGAACGTGAACGTCGTCGTCAAACAAAAAAACGTCGTACTGATAAACAACGTAGTGATCAAGATAGACAATTACGTGAACAAGAAGAAGAGCAACAGCGAATTGCTTTTCTTGCATTATCCGATGCCGAAAAACGTACATTAGCTGTACATGTTAATTTTGAAACCAACAAACCCGATGAATTACATTTAGGACGTTGTTGGCAATGTGCTAAAAAGATATCTGATGAACCATTTACATATTTTGATTATAAATTTTGTTCAACAGCATGTTTAAAAACACATAGGACTAAATCGAAAACTACCGCAACT